GCAGTAGTTATAACTAGTTCGAGCCTTCAAATGCTGCCTCGGCCTTATCACTCCATCCAAAAGCATCCTTCTCCAATAGATCAGTTAAAGGCTTAGCAATTTCTCCATTATCCTTAATAAGCCTTCTATGGTAGCCTGTCAATCCCAGAAAAATCCTCAACTCCTTCAAGGATTTAGGTCGAGGCCATTCCAGTATATATTGGACTTTTTTTTTGTCCATGGACACTCCCCCCCATGAAATGACATGCCCCAAATATTCCACTTCCTGAGTACCAAACTCACATTTACTTTTCTGAAGGAAAGTTGGTTCACTTTGGGAATCTCTAAATTTGTTCTTAGATGTTGCAATTGTGACTCTCAATTAGCAGAATACACCAAAATGTCATGAAAAAGAAAACCAAAACAAACCTCCTTAGATGGGGCTTAAAAAGGCTGTTCATCAAGCCATGAAAGGTGGATGGTGCATCAGTCAAGCCGAATGGCATGACTAAAAATTCATAGTGGCCTTCATGTGTTTTGAAGTTTTGTAAACATCAGCTTCATGCATATGAATCTGATGGTATCTTAATTATAGATCCAGTTTAGAAAACATATGTGCTTCTGCCAACTTATCCAACAACTCCCCTACTAGGGGAATGGAAAATTTATCCTTGATGGTTAACTGATTATGTTGTTTATAACTAACACATAATCTCCAAGATCCATCATTCTTTTGCACCATAACTATAGGGGAAACAAATGAGCTATTACTGTTCCTTATCACTCCTGAAGCGAACATATCTTTCATCATTTTCTCTATTTCATCTTTTTGTGTAGATGGATATTGATATGGCCTAATTCTTACAGTTTGGGTTTCATTTTTCAAGGGAATTTTATCATTTTAGGGCCTGTTTGGAGGCAGACTTTTAGGCAGTTCGATAGCTCCTCATACTCTTATAGTAACTTGTATAACCCTTTACTAATAGCATCCTGCCCCTGGTGTGTACTAGTAATCATGTTCAATTGCATCTATATCCCTTTATAACTCGTCAGAGTGCAAGGGTTGTAACTATTGCGCACCATCAGGGGTTGCAGAAGCTTCATGGTTTGTTTTTCACTAACCTGGTGCACCTTTCCAAATCTAATTCCCTTGCAATGTCACCTATTTTTCTTTCATCTGTAACTGCAAAATCAGATTATTGAAGTCCTAAAGTATGGGTCCCAATGCAACTAACCACTGGACTTCCAGAACTACATCACAACTTTCTAAAGGTAAAATCATAAGATTAGCTTTGAATTCACTCCCCTGTGCACAAGTAACATTTTGACAAATGCCTTGTGTGAACACATGTTCACTATTAGCAATAGTTACCTTACTCCTTTTATTTAGCTTCATTGCCAATCCCAAAGTCTTCACCACTGAACTGTCCATAAAGTTATTTGTACTTCCTGAGTCCACTAACATGATCATGCTTTGCCTATTAATAACTCCTTGTAAGCTCAAAGTTTAGAAACCAGAAGTCCCACAAATAGCATGCAGGGTAATCATAGGAACTTCAACTCCATCTGTATCAGCTATTAACATGTCTAGACTATCCATACAATTAGAGTATACTTTTGTCTCACCTTCTTATTCCCTATTTTCAGTTAGGACTTGGTAAAGTTGAGATTGCATGCATTTATGGCCAGGCGAATACTTGATCCTATACCAATAATACAAGCCGTTTTTCTTTCTCTCCATCTCAGTAGGTGATGGTTTTTTTTTTTTTTTTATGGTTTTTGGGTAGGTTGAGCCGTATAGGTGTACTAGCAGTTGGACTACTGGTATACGAATACTGTTTGGATGTAGTTGAATTTAATAACTTTGGATTATGAAAAGCCTTTGGGGTAGGTAACAAGGGTGGAAGTATTTGTGGTTTGTTAAAGGTGTTGCTAGCAGTAGGTAAGGCAGGTTTACTGGTTGAAAAGTGTCGTTTGGAACTAGGTTTAAACATGGATTCAACTTGTTTCGCAAGGTGTAAGGCCTGGTTCAGATTAACATGTATGAATAGTTTAACAGATTTAGAGATGTCATATTTCAAATTACTCATAAATACACTCAAAGCATATGTACTAGACAATTATAACAGATTCAGAATGCCTATGAATTCATCATAATACTGTTCAACTGTAACTGTTTGCTTGAGCTCCACTAATTCTGCCATGGGATCCTTGAATTCCTTAGAAGCAAACCTCTCCTTCATACTGGCCACATAAGTGTTTTCCAAATCAGCTTGTCTAAACCCCCCGGTGACCTAGTATAGTGTTGATGCCACTGAAGTGCTTTCCTTTCCAAACTCAACATACCCATACGCACTTTTGATTCATTAGGAATTCGTTCCGCTTCAAAGTAGTGATCCAGTTTTAATAGCCATCCTTTAAAATCATCTCCATCAAATTTTGGGCATTCCAACTTGAACAGTCTAAACGTATCAAAACCAGTAGATCGTACTGGATTTACCATCACAGAGTTCAGCTGTTGTTAAGAAGTTTGGTTGCTAGTATCCCCTGACAAAGAAGGAGTGCATTCTCTGATGATGGGTAAGTCAAACGCAGGATGCTTTGCTTCTCGCTCTGCTAAGAACGCCATTAAACTTTTTTTGAAATCACCATTGACCTCGTGCCTTAGTACAGATAAATTCCTCTTTCATTTCCAATCTAAGTTCCAACAACTTTTTTTTCCATCGTCTTTTCAAAACTGCTACAAATTGCCTTGCACCTTGGAAACATTTCGTTGAAGCCGAGCAAAAATTCCTTCTACCATGGTTGTTGCAATGCTAGGAAAAGAGGCTCTGATACCACTAATGCAACCCCTTGAATAAGTGAGTCAACTCAGCACTCGTTCACAGAGAAAGAATGATGCAATGAAAGAAAGATAGAAGAAAGAAAATTTGAAAGAGAGAAATAACAGAATTTCCTGGCTTTCCGATATTCTTTCCATCACTAGTGTGCATCACTTGGTGCTGTCTGTCAGAAAATATCGTTACAACACAATACCAAAATATTACCCTCTTATACAATTACAATTAAACCACTGGGTCAACAATTTGACCTAAACAACGACCCAATATCATACTAGCAAAATCTTATTTTGTTTTTGAAACAATAAAAACTGATTATCTATTTAGCATATCTCAGTTGTTTAGTTGAGAAGGTAATCAGAGATGGGGAACCCAATGGTGAGGTTAAAGATGATGAGGGAGATGGTGCCCCAGAAAACGACGTCGAATGAATTGGATAACATGTCGAATTGGGTGAGTTGAAAAGAGCAGTTGTCGAGGATTTTGAGATGGCCTCGGAGTTGGTGTTGGACCATTGTGAAGTTCGATTTGAACTCGATTAGGAGCTCGTGTTGTAGCATTTTTTACCATAATCCACGTTGGAAAAGAATAAAGATTGATTACCAGAGCAGGATTAGAATGAAAGATTTGGAATTATACTTTCGGATCGGATCACGGGTGATTATAGAATCCTAATTGGGTGAAGATGAAAATAAATATTTTAAGGAAAACGGAGGAGATATAGTAGGTAATGTTGACTCGGTGGAGGCGTAGTGAGTTACTGACTTTTTTTTTTTTTTTTTTTTAGGTTTTTCAGGGTAAAAGGAATAGAAAGAGAAGACGTAGGAAGGGGACGATGAGAGGTGAGAGTGAGTGGAAATTTCGTGATTTGATTAGAAATTTTTTCTAAAGATCCTATGCCACTGAAAGTGAAAGGGAACTTTTAAAAACATCACCATTTATTTTCTTTGTATTTTTTTTAAAAATTTTTTTATAAGTAAAATAATTTAAATGTGTTCAAAAATTTATTTTCAAAATTTTTAAAAAATTATTAACATTTTTTTTTGAATTTATAAAAAATTATCAAAAAATTTCTGTTAAAATTTTTTTTGAATTAATATAATAAAAATTTATTATTAAAAAATAAAATTTAAAATTAATAAAATAGTTACTTTTATTATCTTGATATTAAGCAAAAATATAAAATTTTATAAAACTCTAATTAAATTAAAGATAAGGTAATAAATGTAATTTTTTTATAAATTCAAAATTTATCATTTTTTATAAATATTTTTATTTCAATTATTAAAATTTTATAATAATTTTAACTAAATTGAATTTCTTACAAAAATTTCTTCATCTACTTATTACATAAATTTTTTTAATTAATATATTAAATTTTAATAAAATTATATAATATTTAAAAATATTATTATAATTTTAAAAAGTTTTAATTATTATATATCGATCAAATTTGATAATTTATTCATTACTTTTTGTAATATCAAATGATGAAATATTTAATTAAAATCTTATAAAATTTTATTTTTTATTTAATATCAAAATAGTAAAACTATTTTTTGTTAATTTTAAAATTTATAACTTTTTTAATAATAGTTTTAACAAAATTTTTTTATAATTTTTCATAAATTTTAACTTTAACATTTTTAAAAATTTATTTTCGAAAAGAATAAGTTTTTTAAAATCTAACTTTTTTTTTAAATTGATTTTCAAACACTTGGGAGAAATGTATGCAAATAATTTCCTTTATAAAAAATTTAAAAAATTATGAAAAAAATATAGTGTATTTAAAGTGCTCAGGGTAAAAACGTCACATCAGTACAACATACGTACAGATATTGGATTTTTTAAAAATTTAGTTGACTCTACGTAGTTCTTGTCCTGAGCGCTAGTTGAAGACACGTTTGGATTGGTCTTTCATCCAATCTTAACTAAATTGTCACTGTCCATTTTCGTAATAAAAAATCTGACAAAAGTCAGAATCATGAACTGAACTCCCAAAATCACCCCTATCGGACTTTACAATCTCCCTAGCCTTGCCAATGCTAACGGATAAGTAATATCAAGAAAAAGCTAGGGTAAAAATATAATATAGTAAATCATCGAAATTGACAACTTCAGACAGCTTTTTAATTCCGAATCCCTCCCATGTCTGAACAAAATCTCTGTCGTTTTCGTCCTTCTTCGTCTTTTGATTTTCTTCTCTTACCAAAAGCTTCCTCCATTTTTCTTCTGCAATTATCAAATAAAAAAAAATTTAATATCAGCTCAAAAAAGGGAAAATTTTGATCACAAAAGTAAAAAAAAGAGAGATTTTATTTCCATTGGAGAAGTTTGGTTGGTTGTTGGTTTTAATTATTTCAAGTCAAAGAAGAGATTTTTCTTCTTTTCTGCTTGCTAATTGTATGTTAAAGGGTGGTGTTTTTCCAGTTTCTCATTGGTTTTTCAATCATATTTAAAAATTTTTTATTTGAATTTAACTCCTTTTGCTTCCATTTTCTTTCTTCTATTATGGGTTTTTGTTGCTTTTGTTCCCAATTTTCTTGTTTGATTTTTCAGTACTATAATTTTATGTTTGTTTCTCGGGTTTCAGCTTCTGGGTTTTATTCCTTTCCGTTCTTTTCCAATTTCTTCTCAATACTCTGTTTCTGGGTTTGTTCATTCTTTTCATATTTTTTCCAGCAAAATATGACGTCGTTTTAATTATTTTTCATTTGTTTAATAATATTGCAGGATTTTGGCTGTGTTTTATACAAAGAGTGAGAGCTTCCAATGGTTTTTCTTTTTACTTGAGAATCACGTAAACAAAACAATGAAGAAGTGAAGAAGTAGACAGAGTTGTACGATATCTCCTGTTTTGTGTATTTTTTTTAATAGGTACGTGAACTTCTGGCCCTATTGGCTGAAGAATTTCTGCTTAAATTAATAATAGTAGTACTATATATGTTTTTGATTGATTATTTATTTATAACTTTTTTTTTTTAAGCTTTTGGAGTTTGATGGTTTTGTCAGAGTGTAAATGCATGAGCATGGTGGTTCATAGTTGTCCCATTGTGATTTCATAAACACATTGGTAGGTAGGGTCATGTTGTAAACTTTTCCAAGATTTTTAAATGCTGAAACTTGTTCATTTTGACCATTGATTTTTCAAAAATTTTAGGTTATAGCAATATTCTACTTAGTAATGATTTTTTTAGTTGAAGAAGTGTTTTTTTTTTTTTTTTTTTCTAATTTGGAGTTGAGATTGAAATCCCTCTCTTTTAACATGAAATCATGCATATTCCTATAAAGGGTAGTTAAGTTAGTGATTTGATTCTGATTCAAGTGGTAATTAGAAAAAAAAATTGTTTGTTTTACAAATATCGTAGTGTATTAGTTTGTTCTTTTTTGGTTAGACTGTGAGTTAGTATGATAATTTTAGTTTTTAATTGCACTAGTAATTCCCAGCTAAGACTGAAACTAGCTTCAAATTGGCAAAGAGTTCTGGTTGTAAAGACAAGTTGGCACGAATCTCGGTAAATCTAAAAGTTGGTCCAAAAATCCAATGGATGTTTGAAGGTGCTGCACCGATAATAAAACTTTTCGGTGCCAAGTGTGAAAATAAATATGTAGAACAATGATGGAAATTTCAAGTGGTTCATGGACCACAGTGGAGGCTGCGGTCAAGTTTATTCATTTGGAACGAAAAATGTATGTTTGTTATTTTTCTCCTGTTTCTTATAAAAATACAGCACATCTTGATTTGGATTTGTGCTAAAATTTAAAGTGTTTTTTTTTTTCCAATTTATAGGAACTTTGTATGTTAAGATGATCATCTTCTATACTTTTACTTTTTGGATTTAATGCTTTTGGTCTTTTCTCTCTTAGCAAAATACTTTTCAGATTAAGTTCTTTTTCCTGCATTATTTTTCTTGGAAACCTCTTGGACATTTTCTGATTCTTCCATGTGGGTGTAACTGACATCTTCTGTATTCAAATGAAGTTGCAATTCTTCAAAGTATAATTCCAGGAAAAATACGTGATAGTTGCAGGAAAAATTCTTGTCAGAACAGGATAGATTTCAAATCAAGCATTAAAAAATCAGCATGGAATGTATTAATATATTTGTTCACTGTCTTCTTGCTGTTGGAATCTGTTTTATATTTTGGCAAGTGGGTTGTTATGAATAGATTATTGAATAGTATGTTAGAATGCCTATTTTGACCCCATATGAATTGTTTCCTGAAATGTTTGTTCCTCTATATGCTTTCTCCACCGCTTGATTTCCCCCTTGCATGGGATATTAAGCTCCAAATGAAGGTTCATAGTGTCGGATAGGCAAGCTTATTGAACTTTGTTAACGTTAAACGCCCCTTTTGAGCATGTAATTGAATCATTTACATCGATTTTGCACTTCTTCTTCTTGTTCCTCTCTATTTGTCTTTCTCTCTTTTCCCACATTTTTTAAAAGTCTTCCCTTTTTTATTCTGTCAAAAGAAGATTAATGAGAATTCACTAAGGTTATGGAGCTAACAAAAAGAAAATTCCATTCTCCATTAAAGCCCTCGGACTAAGTGTTAAAGCATTTTGCTTTTCTCTTTTTATCAACACGCTCATCATAGTCATTATCATCCTAGATCTTTGTTTCTTCCCCACCTCTCCTTTACTTATTCTTTTGTTTACTTATTTGGTGTCTGTTAAAGTTGATTGAAGAAATTCTCTCATAGACTTATAACTGTTGTCATAATTTGTGATACTTTGCAGATGGAAGCTGTGAAGCCATCGGCTGTTACTCCATCAAAGAGTAAATGGGTTCGAACTTTATCGAAAGTTCTTCACCTGCACACCGCTGCAGCTGGGATTGTTCCCGATGATGCGGTTCAGAAGGTTAAGCCTAAAAAAACTGAGGAATGGAATGACAGTAAGACCACCAAGAGATTATCTCAGAAATTTGACAGATTACATGAGGATAAGCTTGAAAGAATGATGGCATTGGAAGCGCTTATTGCAAGAATCTTTGCTACTGTTTCAGCTATTAAGGCAGGATATGCTCAGTTGCAGCATGCTCAGTCTCCTTATGATGCTGCGGGGATTCAAGCTGCTGATCAATTGATAGTTTCTTACTTGAAGAAATTGTCAGAATTGAAGCAGTGTTTCTTGAAGAAACAGTATGATCCTTCCCCCGAACGTGCAATGATTTTAGCTGAAATTCAGGAACAGAAAAGTCTTTCAAAAACGTTTGAAATTATGGGAAAGAAACTGGAATCTCAGCTGAGACTCAAAGAGTCTGAGATAATTTTTCTTCGAGAAAAGTCTAATGAATCCAATAAGCAAAACAGGTTTCTCGAGAAGAGATTAAATCAAAGTGGTCAGTTTTTTGTGCTTGACAATCTTCACCTGTCAGGCTTAAGTCCAAGCCATTTTATTATAGTTCTTCGGCAAACTGTTAAATCCATTAGAAGTTTTATGAGGCTGATGATTGATGAAATGAAGTCTGCTGACTGGGATATCAATGCAGCAGCTAGTTCAATAGAACGAGGTGTGGTTTTTTGGAAAGCAGATGACAAATGTTTTGCATTTGAGTCCTTCATTTGCAGGGAAATGTTCAAGGCCTTTCACCATCCTTACTTCTCTCTTCTTGGTAACTCTGTGCCTGAGGGGAAGAAACATCCGCAAGTCTTTTTTGAGAGATTTATGGAACTGAAATCCATGAAAGTTAAGGGATATCTAGCCATGAAACCCAAGTCAACATTTGCCAAATTTTGCCGGACCAAGTACTTGCAAGTTGTTCATCCTAAGATGGAATCATCTTTTTTTGGCAATTTGAGCAATAGAGACATGGTGAGTTCCTATCAATTCCCAGACAATGCTCTTTTCACCTTATTTGCTGAAATGTCGAAGCGGGTATGGCTTCTGCACTGCTTAGCCTTTGCTTTTGAGACTGAGGCATCAATCTTTCAAATAAGCAGAGGGTGTAGATTTTCTGAAGTATACATGGAAAGTGTAGTCGAGGAAGCATTCCTTTCATCAGATATTAAACTGGAATCAGAACCACGAGTGGCTTTTACCATTGTTCCTGGATTCAGGATTGGTAAAACTGTAATACAGTGCCAGGTCTATCTCTCTTAATTGAAAAACAAGGTAACCTGTTGATCCCATGTTAGTCTCAGAGTTCTTCAGGTACATTTGGACCCACAACATAATAGATTGAACTGGATGCTATTCTCTTGATTCTTTTTTTAGTAAATTAGATTAGAGAAATGGCTTTGCCTTGTTGCTGTGTATGGCTTTACCTGGGCAATTTGTCTCCCTGTTTTTGTGGCCTTAATGACAAAAGGCTTATTGACTGGTAATTTATTTGTAAGACACATCCCCCAATTTGTTAATATTAGGCCAATGATTATTTAGCTGTTTTGCATTATTGCCTTATTCTAATGATTTTATATGTAAATAATTATAGGTTGGAAACTATTTTTATATTCATCATCTGTATGTATTGCTTTGGATGCCATGCCATGTATTGCCAGAAGGTTTGTCCATCTTTTTGTCTCTATGTTGTCTAGATGCTATAAAAAATCCCTGATTCACTCATTTTTAAGCTTTACTAAGAAGTGGATCCGAGCATTTGATAGAATAATTGGTGCTTATATATTTTTTTAAACACGGATTCAAATCTTCCATGTTTTGATATAGAAAAAAAGCTTTACTAAGAAGCTGGTTGTTCTTTGTAGCCTCAGGTCTTTTACACTAATTTGAGGTGAACCTGAAATGCAATCATTCAACATTATAAAAATTCAGGACTTTAGAAGGAAATCAATTATGAACTTTTTGACATATTTGGTACGGAAGAACTGAAAATCTAAAACTATAGGAGAGCTAAAAACCAATCCTGAATTGATCATTGTGAAGAAATTGGTCTTGCTTTTTAACCCAAAGTAATTCCTACTTTTGAATTCAAGCTTGTTATCAAAACCCCTTCTGATTTGTCTCTGAAAGCTTTAAAGAAATAAAAAGCCCTTTTGATATTATCAAATACATGTATTGGACCGCAAAAATATAAACTTTGGATGAAAAAAAAAAAAAAAAAACGCTATAATAGTTGTCTGGGTAGCAATAAAACGGTTCATAATTGAATGTGGTGGGTCATCGGATGACAAAAACATTGGCGCACTTCTATTTAAAATGAAAGAAAGCATGGGATCGTCAGATTGGTTTCAATCACTTGACAGTGGGGATCTGTCCGAAGAAGAGAAGAAAACAAAAATCTGCTCAAATTTCAAAATGAAATGGAGCCACATCAAATTTTCAGGATTGGAAAAGGACTACATAAATTTGGACAGTTGTAGCATTAATACGTGGGAAGCATTGAATGGGGGTAACATTTTTTTTTGAAGAACGTGATTTTGCGGTCCTCTTGTCTATTCATGATTAATCACGTACTTTTTTTTTCATACGTAAACCATTTGTCATTTATTTTTGGATTAAGAAATATATTTTGTCACTAAGATCAAAACAAGATTATTTTTATAATTTAAAATGTGATATTTAATTATATCATAATTTATTTTATTATTATTTTACTTGAGAAATTTTTTTATTTTTTATTTTAATTTATATTTTTTCTTTAAAAATTTATTTATTTATTTTTAAAATTAAATTAATTCTTTCTATAACTTCTCTCTATCAGCAAACTAAACCTCTTAGAGCATTCTCTAACTTCTCTCTACCAATTTTAAACTCAAGAATAAAACCCAAAAATCAATTAAAAAACCATCACCTAATTCGCCATTGATCGGCAGTCTTGGCTTTCTTCCTCTTCTGTTTGTAACTGTTCTTCTCTTTCCTTATCTGTCTAATACCCAACAAAAACTCGATATCTGATCAAAGATGTCGCTACTTTCTTCTTTATTTGAACATTTCAAGACACAGACCAAAATCTAAAAAGAATAATATCCCCATAATCGGAAAAAAATACCGAAACTCTTATAATTAAAACTTTTTATTTTGTTTTCGATTTTTTCAATGGGTGTTTTACTGCTAATTTTTGTGCCTATGATTGCTTGCCAATGGATGATTGTTGAATTTGCACTACCGAATGAGTCTTCTGTGGTTTGGTTAATTGCCGATTCTAGGTTCATTGATTGCTGATCTGTGTTGAGGTTTGTTGGTGGATTCTTTGCTGTTTGTTTTATGGATTTTGGCTTTGAATTGCTTCTTGGTTTTTTTTTTTTTTTGGGTTGTTGAATTCTGATGAATACTAGCTGTTGAATTGTTTGAGATTACTTACTGTCCAAATTTCTTCTCTATTGGTTCAATGCTTATCTGCATTTTGCCCTTGTTTGCTCAATTGTCTGGGTTTTGCTGAATCAAAAATACTGTTTATTGGAAATGGTTTTGACGGAGTTTTTGGATTGGCTGATTCATTTTCTCTCTAAAACCAAATTAAACCAAACTATTAGAGAGACTGATTATGAATTGAGAAGAAGAAGAAAGAAAAAAAATAAAAAATGAAAAGAAACAAAAAAAATAACAGTTTTGAAGAAAAAACAATAAAACAAATCATAGGGTAATTAATAGTCATCTTTTAATCCTCAAAGGCTATATTCATTTTAGCCTTAACTACAGAGTATATTTATGAAGTTTACCCTTTATTTTTTAATTTTTAATTTATATTTTTGTCTCAAAGTCATTTGGAGGATTCGTTTTAAAAGATTGTATGATTTTCGGACAGGTAGCAAAGGTTGGTTTCAAATCATAATCAACAAAAGTTTTGTTTGATATTTCAGACACCAAGGTTTCTCAAATCAAATATATGGCTGAAGTTGCTGGAAGATTTGTTGCCTGATTCTTGTTTTGTCATAATCTGTCACCAGCTTATATACTTAGATTCTTATGTTTATTGGAAACTGTCATGTTTTTAAAAAGTTTTAAATTCTATGATTGATGCATAAGATAATAATCTGTTAGTAAAATGTTATTAATAGTTGTTGGTCTTCACATTCTTGGCTCACTTGGTAAAGGAAATTGAGCTGTCTATAAGTTTATCAATGCAGCTCCTTTTAGAACCTCTAACTTGAAGTTTCAGCTTTTGACCTTTAAAAGCTGAAATTGTTTTGACTTCTACAGAAGTTAAAAGAAACGTTTTTCCTAGTACTTTTGGCCTAAATATTTCCTACTTTTGAAGCATAAGCTGCCCTAGAAGATAGGTTTAACAATCTCATTGTAAGCCCAAGACCACATTATGTCCAAACATTGATTCTAACAGGGATGAATCTGCTGCATTGGGTTCCTTGTGTCCAAATTTGAGCTCTAATTTAGAGATTGGCACAAAATCTTTTAGGTTTCTAATAGCTTCACTTACTCTATTGTGGGTGGAAGGTAGTTTGTAATCAGGAAAATCAATTCTAATCATTTATCTGTGCAAAGGAGGCCACACCTTGAGAATTGAAAAAGGGGTTGTCAGTATTAGTATTTGAATTCTAGATCTGCTGGATCGATGCCAGCTCTTGTGAGTGACTACAAGAGCCAACGAGTTAAACCCCAGGTTTGATATCCTTACTAGTTTTAATCATCCTGAGAGCAGTTAGAGTTCTTTCTATAAAGGATTTTCTAGATCAGAATATGAAAGCTGTATGTAGATCTTTGGCCTAGTGTCGTATATCCCAAACATATTCCTTTCTTCCAGGAAGGAAACAAAAATAAAATAAAATAAAGACTGAGGAACAAGATAAATTGAAGATTTCACTACTTAATCAATATGAAATATGCAATTTTGAATAGCTTACAACATTTAAGATAACTATAAGCTATTTGTTACACTTTCAAATGGTGAAGTATCAGTGGTAACCCCCAAGAAATCCAATAGGAGTACATAAACCAAATGATAGGATACATTTTTATTGGATATAGTTGTAAACTGTTCACATCAGGGTGGGGAGCTTGATCCTCAAATTAACTTATTGCCAGCTCCAGGACTTGGAACTGACTGGTCAGGCACAGCTCTGTGCTTGGTGATGTGCATTTTATTCACTGCCATTGCATGACCATTTTTAGCAGGAGGTGCAGGTGAACCAAGAACCTTAGAATTGGCACTCACAATGGTACTCTGGTCCAAAACAGGACCATTCATCCTTTCCTTTAAGATCTTTCTGGCACCAAAAGATGGAGCATGGCATACTAATACAATAGCAATAACAAGGATTGTGGTTTTGTTGAAATGAGCCATTAAGAGTGCTAAGAGAGAAAAGTCTAGGAAATAAGGCTTATGCTGCAAAGAAGGAAATACAGAGGCTGTGTTCGGGATAATAGAATCGGCTCATAAACTGATCTATTTATGGGCCAATGGATGAGGTAGAGACGTGAGGGTCAAGTTGAATTGGTTTAGATGGTATGGATAATTGAAAACCAGAAATTCTTTGACAGCGTTTGTAAAAACTATGCCTGGAAATATCTCGTAGACATTGAGTTAGGTACATTTGAACTGAATGTGGCCAATATCATTTTCTTCCACTTCATCCATCGACCTGGGAGTCTAGTCAGGCTTTCTTCAAAAGCAGAACTACTTATAGAAAGGAGAAATAGGAATCATGGCCAGAGTTCTAGGATTAAGGTCTCCTTACATTATCGAAATGTGCCTTATATGCATACAAAATTACTAATTTGCAGTTAATTTCTTTATGTTTGGCCTTCAACATCTTAACTGCTTATGGATAAGTCGGTGATTCTGCAGATTAATGGTGATACTTCTAACTTTTGAAGGAGTTTCTTGATTCAATGTATCATGGTACACATAATAGGGCACATTATTGAAAGCAATGCCAGTTGCGTGCGTGTAGGGCTTTTCTCATAAACAGTAGCCAAAGATCACCCTTAGAATTTAATCGGACACTAAAATCACCAGTTGCTCAATGATCACTGTTGCATTTTATTGAGCAGCACCAAATTTTAAATGATGATAAACATGAAGAACTATGTGGTATGACTGTTAGATATTAGATCAGACCAAAGAGAACCTGCCATTATAATTAAGCCTAAGCAATAATAAACTTCTGGTATTATCGGAAACCTAGAACTTTTCTATCGATGAACTTGGCAGCTTCAACTTGATTGAGTGTGGCCCTAGGCCCTAGATATCGGTGGGAAAAAAATTCAGAACCAAGCACAGAAATATTAAGTTTTCCTTATATGAACCAAACACAAAAATCTAAATATTCTCTGAAATCTGTTGATAAAGTAATCAGGGAGGAATTATATTCCTCAAGGTAATCTAACTTCCCCCGAATCAAATGCCTCCCTCAAATAATGCTTTCTTGAATGTTTCATTAACGAAAATCCATTACGATTTGAACTTCTATAATTTGTACTTTCTAATTTGCAGCAAATACGTATATAAAGTATCAAATAGTATCTTACTTGACTATGCACTTTGATATTTCAAGGTGCTATCACCTGCAATATCTAACAAAAAGTTTTTGTGGTAATGAATTTAGCGTCATCAAAGGCGGTTCAAAGTTAATTGTAAGACTATACTAAAGAAGGGCACCGTTTAGATGATAGAGCCCATTGCCCTTTATTATGACTAAAAAGACCTTGGCTTCGTGGGGCCAATAAACTGCTGAGATTAAGCGAAGGCATTATGCAACTTACATTTTAGTGGCCCCTTTCTGCTTCTGTTCGCATAGAAGTGGAGGATTCCAAGTTTGACACCATGATTGGAATGATGCACTTTTACAAGTGGTCTTTACTGTTTGATCTCAAAAATGTATTTTGGTATTCAAGAAAATGAAAGCAATAATGAAGTTGAGAGCGTATTCAAGCAAGCAATGTAAAAACATGTTGAGGCTTGCACGGTTCTTCTTAACTATTGAACAGACAATCAATATGCTTTTCAAGAGAAATGCTATGATCATGACAAACAATCAATCGATATAAGATCATCATAGGCTTTATTTCTTATATTCATTGCAAACTTACTTTGTTTATTACATGTATGAAGAAAATTAAGCCCCCAACCGCTAAATTGCAAACGAAATTGTCTATGTAATTGTGTGTTATCCATATGCTATGTAGTTGAACCAAACCCCTAGAAAAATCAAATGACAAGCCATAAAGTCTGTAAAGAGGCAATCATAGAATTATAACAATGACTGTTTGCTAAAGCTATATATAGTGGGAGACAATGGGAGAATAACGCATTCAGTGGTGGCCTGCTCCTGGACTTGCGGAAGACTGTAATACTCTATCAATTTTGGCTAGATGAATGGCATTATTACGCATTGCAAGCCCTTTATCATCACTAGCAGGAGGCATTTTTCGTAGGCTCCATGGGAAGGGTGGTTTCAACAAAATGGTACTTAAATGAAGGGACTTCTTTCTTCTCTAAGTTCAAAAGCTTTCTAGCTTCGAAAGATGTTGGTTGGAAGATGAAAGCAAAAAAAACGATATGCAAAACAATGCTTAAGCGAGACATTTTGGAGTGCAAAGAGAAAGAATAGAGATCGTATATTTTCTCTCCCTAATATTGTAGAAGAAAAGATTAGTAATGAAATCGTGTATGGCTTGGATTTTAAGGTATATATAATAATGGAGAAACCGTGCTAGCTAAGAATTTATTTGGTAGAGCTTAGAGATTGGTTACAGCGAGATTAAAAATGATTGTGATAGTGAGATTAAATATTATAGTAATGAAATTAATCGATGAGATTAAGTGAGATTAGATATTATAGTGATAAAATTAAAATTGATAGTGAGAATATATAATATATATATATAAGTTATACTCTCAAATACTTTTGCATTTATTGTGAAAACTTATAATCAATTTAAAAAATATTATCCGTTTTAATCAAAAAGTCTGATTTTATCCTATATGCCTCACAAGTATGAATTTAAATTTTTACATATATATATATATATATATATATCATATTCGCTCATTCTTTCAATGTAAGATTGGAAGAATCATAATCTTCTTCATTAAATTTTGACATTTTCATCAAGTTCAATACAAAATTATAACGAGAATCAAATTTATTTTTGGATTTTAAAAAAGGCTCTCACATATAACATTTAGTTCATACTTATTAAGATTATAGAGGTGGCTTTTATAATATAGCATTTCATTTCTTGAACTTCTAGCCAGTGATCGTTATGATAGAATTTATGGATATTTGTATTAATTTGAGAGGTGTTATTTATTTTAATTCAAAGATTTAATGATTTTATCTCACAAAAAATATTTTGAAAATATGAATTTAGACCTCTGCACACAAACATTTATATATATCATATTCTCATGTTCTTTTGAGTGAGGTATCACACCTACATTGTCAACCACTTTCGGTGCCATGGAATTTAAACTAACCTTAAGTTAGCATGTTTAGAATTAGACTAGATAATTTCAAATATGATAAGGTGATCTGATATGAAAACGATGTGAAAAAAATCATATATGTGCTTTAAAAAAAAATGTGTTTCATATTTATTCATATTGATATAAATTTTGATACGATACAATTCGCGTCTTATACGTATTAACACGTTTAAACATATATAAGATACGAAAAATATGTTTAAATAAATATGTCACTCGAAAACATATTTAACACATGACACGACATGAAAATATGTTTAATACATTTTTATATTTATTTTAATTTAATATAAACATATAAAGATTATTTTGATTTTTAATGTCTTAATTATAATACCTAATCAGCTATTTAATAAATCATATAAAATTATTTCAAACGTTGAAAAATGATTTATAAAATTATTTGTTATATTAATAATATAAATACAATATAAATAATAATATTAGTACAATATATCATTATTTTATTTTTTTAGTGAAATAAAGTTTAAGAATAGGGGAGGTGATCTCATCTTTAAGGCAAGGGCAAGTTACCAAGGGGACTTACGGATTTTTTTTAATTTTTTAAAAGATTTTTCGAATTTACAAATTATTTATCAATAAAAGACTATGAGATTTGAACCTGGATACTTTGTGTCTAGACTTTAAATCTTAATCACTTGCACCAACTACTGTTAACATATTATTTTATTTTTTAATCTTTAATAGTTGATAATTTTGAATTTAATACTAAAACTAATATAGTTATATATACATTTATGATTGTTATATTAGTAATGTATATATTAATATATATATATATGTATATATATGTTAAATTGATATTAAATGGGTATAAATTCTTTTATATTTTCTACATATGCAAGTATTTTTATATTAGCATTGTATATATTACATATATATAAATTTTAACATGTTAAATATGTATTGTTCTTTATAACTTTTCATAATAAAATTAAAAAACAGTTATTAAAAAAAGAATTTAGAAGGATAAATATACACTTAATTATTAATAACAAGTAACAGTTAACAATATGATCATTGATCATGCATAATAAATCCAAATCACATAAATATATAATAATATATTATAATGATAATAAATAGCATTTATAATGATAAAAAACTATATGATCATCTTAATAACATGAATCATGATATGCAATTATTTTAAATTATAAGAGTTAAATAAGATATTATATATTTGAAATTAAAAATAATACATATTCTAAATAATATATATAAATGATAAAAAAAATTATATAACTTATTTTATATTACATGATACGATATTATTAAAATATAACTTATAAATTATTGTTGTTTTTTGAATACTCTAAAACTAATAAGTTAGTATGTTTTGAATGGGTATAATGTTTGATGATATGTATCGAATTTCTATTCATATATATTAGTATTATTTGTATTTATTTGTGTATATCAATGTTATAAATATTATTTGTATTAATCGTATTATGTCACATGTAATAAATATAAAAAACGTATCGTATTCATATTTAAAATTTAAACATGATTTATAATTCGTATCATATTCGTATTTTAATAATTTATATAATTACACATATTAAATATGATGCGAAACAGGATACTAAAACACAACTTGCCAAGACTACTTGGAACGGATCAAGGAATATTTTGGTGTTTTCTGCTAGGATTCCTGTCACAGATTAATGAAAATTGGGTTAAGTACAAATTAACTACACTGTCAGCTTGTGTTTCTAAATAACTTCATGCAATGTCCTTGCACTTATCACCACAAACACTTGGGAAAAAACAGATTATTCCCCTGTTCCCTTTCATTGTCTACCTTTTTGATTCGAAAGGTCAAAATTAAACAATTTCCTTCTACTTTTCAGGTGCTAACAGCTAAAGTTCATTTTTTCCCACTCGCTGCAATAATGCCTTTTTCATAGTTCAATGATGTACAGGACCACTACAGGTAAATTGAAAGCCAAGTTTGCCAATGATGCACCGCAAGTCTGCAAGTGGTAAACATGCCTAGCAAGGAGTACAAGACCTAACATTTTCTGTAGGAGCTACAAAATCTATTACTCAGTGTTGAAACATGCTGGTTTAGCCAATTAACTTGATATTCTTATATTTCAAGAAAGACAAAAACCATGCACATCTTCCATTCATGTCAAAACAAAATGCTAGAGGCAGTTTTGTATAACCATCGGTTATCCACCGATTCTGCTAATAAATTTATTGTATTTTGACAATTAATGAACTAAGCATCTGTCAAATATTCAACATGTGTAAAGTATAATGCAATAATTACCTGCAGTCTATGTCTATGTGAATTAGTCTGAAAAAAAGGGGGAATTATCATATTGATATCTTCAGGGTTCTTTTGGGGTGCTTCAATGTGAATCTAGATCCTGTTTCTATTCGGAAGAACACCATACATGAGACACTTTAATAAAATTATCATAGATGAGGTTCATCTTTGCCTTGTTACCTGCTCAAGTTATTCATCAGACCAAGGCTTGTGTTACAGATCCTAAATTTGAGCATTAATATTGAAGCTAACATTGTGTTTGAGAAAAGCATTGGAGAATTTATGGAGACACAGGATGCATAGTTCAAGATATTGAATTAAAAAAATACATACCATAACCGAAAATCTCATAAATATGATAGGACTAATACAACTGAAATTGGGGATGACAACAAACCAGGCTTGAAAAACTCTGTTTGTGGAAGAGATTAATCTCCCTTTGGAGTATACTTACTGCAAAGCACCCAACAAATCTGAAACATTTGTTAAAACTCGTCAGAAAGACATTGAATTTGAGGTTTAATCCTTCCATCTTATAGCAAAAGGAAAAAAGAAAAGGTGTGGTAATAAAAAACTGCAGTTAGTTAGAACTGTTAAACTCACCTTCGACTAAGAGCATTAATCAGCTGTATTATTTTCTTCCTCCAACTCTCCGGATTTTCCTTCCAAAATATTTTTGTTGACCTCTCTCAATGATCTTAATGACCCACCATGGTTTTCCAGTTGTGAATACAATGTATCCTGTGCTCAATCCAAACACCAGCCCACATCCATACCCCATCAGAATAGAAAATTTCCAATTCAGTGCATCATCATCTGCATCAGTTTTTGTTGGAGGCTGTTTCTGATCATTATTACCACAGCTTTTTGATAAAGGGAATCCACATAAACCCAAGTTCCCACTGTACGAATCATTTGTGAAAGTATCAAATTGTTTGCCACTAGGAATGGGTCCCGTAAGATTATTTTGAGAAAGGTTTAACACCGCTAAGAATCCAAGATTTTTAAACACTTGGGGAATTCTTCCTTGAAGCTTGTTTGATGAGAGATCTAATGACTCAAGCATTGACAAATTGCCAAAGGAGGATGGGATAGGACCTGTTAAACTATTGTGAGAGAGGTTTAGGACAACAAGTGAATGAAGTTGTCCAAGTATGTCAGGAATCTGCCCATTGAATCGATTATTTGAAAAATCAATAACCATTAAAATGGTTAAAATTCTCATGAACTGCCTCTCCAACCCTTTTATTGTAAGTAATAAACCATAATACATATAATTATTTCCAGAATACTGATATCCCATGTATTCACCTTTCTTTTCAGACCCGTTGATCATAGCATACAAATTTTCAAAAATCTTGGTTGGCAAGCTCCCATGGAAGTCATTCTGAGAGAGGTCAATGATCCGCAAATTAGAGAAAGAAGATGCAACTACTTCAGGATTGACAATATGACCATACAATCTATTGGACCGCAAGACAAGAACTTGTAGATTCTTCAATTTTCCTAACCAACTAGGAAAGGTGTCAATGAAGTTATTGTTCCCGAGATCAAGAATTTCCAAGTCCAAGCAATTAACCAAAGATTGTGGTATTGGCCCCTCAACTTGGTTGCTGTCGATACGGAAACTTTGCAACGAACAACTTTTACGAAACATTTCCGCTGGTACTTCACCATGAAAGTTATTCATATATAGATTCAAGACTGACATAGAATGACTTAAATTTCCAAGACATTCAGGAATAATTCCACCAAAATTATTCTTAGACAGGTCGAGTTCTTCCAGCGAGCTCAAATTGCAAATTGAGGCAGGGATTTCTCCAACTATGTTATTCTCTGCTACCCCGAACCAAAGTAATGAAGGTGGCAGGGTTGGAAGCCGTCCTTGGACCAAATTTGAGCAGAGTTTAGGAGCTTGAATATTCTTTAAAGTAGTAGTTTGCTTTATAAAATTGCAAATAAATTAAATAAAATATTTTTGATGTAACACATCTTGTCTGCAATAAAAATATTTGTCTTTGCACAGTTGGAACTCACTCTATAACATGACTCCACCAGCTATATCAATGTCAAAAAACGAATTGAATTACAAAATTCGAATGGAAATTTTTTTATTTCTTTTAAATTTGAGGGAAGAGAGATTTGAACTTTACTTTTGCAAGGAAAAAAGATTTAAATCTTACTTTTGAATTAAAATATCGTATATACAACAATTACTGAATCAAATATTGAATTTAAAAATTCTAATGATTTGGGTATAAACTCTATATGAAAACTAGTGATTGGAGCCAAATTACTAAAGTTTATCTCTTTACACACACTTCTATTTGCGTGTTCATGTGCATTTTTAACCACTCTAAAATTTGGATTTTAGTTTCTTACTTGTAAACATTTAAAATTATTAAGTTTTCTATGTTTAAATGAAATTTTCATTTTTCTTATACATTTTTTAATTTTCATTTCAAAATATTTTTTTATGGTCATGAATTGCTTTAATCTTTATATATTACATATATCTTCTTTTTCTGTTTTTTTAATCTTGATATTATCATATATATTTCATGTCTTGATTTTTTTTATTACTTTACACGAAAAATAATAATTAAATATATATAATAAAAATTAAAAAATGGTGACATAAAAAATTATTTATAATCTCTTAAAAAAAAGAAAATTGTGACTCTTGACATTTTGAGAAAATTCAATAGTAAGCTATCAGTAGTCTTACCTTTTTTTTTTTTAATAAATTGATTGAATTTTTGAAAATATACATTTATTAAGCACTTAACAAAAAATAAATGTTATCATTATGAGATTAAAAATTTATTTTGATACTAATTAAAAAAATATATTTTTAATAATTGTAGATCCTATAGTATAACTTGAGCACTTTTCTAATTATCAATTAAATGGGTATTTGTACTTATTAAGTACTATTATTACAATATTTAAGGATTTCTTATTATAAACCACAAACTAAAAGGATTTCTTATAATGCCCACTTATAATTAAGAAAACTAATGTAAAATATTTAAGAATGAAAATATAATTATTACAATATTTAAGGATTTTCTTTTTTTTTTTGAAATAAATATTTAAGGATTTCTTATTACAATAATTGTTTGATAGTTTAGTTATGTATTCTATAATGAAGAATGAAAATATTATCCAGGATTATATATTCGTGGATAAAAAGCAGAAGAAAAGATGATACCTGTGAAATTATTTGATGAAAAATCAAGTAATGTCAGACGAGTCAACTGCTTGATGGTTGGAGGAATTGCACCTGAAAGAAAAAAAGAAAAGGAATTCTCTCCTTAAAATTTTACTACAAATAGGGATGTTTTCTTTCTTGAGAACAAAGTGACTATTTTATTTGAATTCTATTTTTTAAAAGTAAATTACATTTGCAATCATTTTCTTTCTAAGCCAAAACAATATTTAATTAAAAGTAGCGAAGTGGCTACAAATATCCAACTATAGTTAAGAGTACAACAGAGCAGAGATAGAATATGAACCCTAAAGAAAGTACATCAACACCATATGAGAAATCCAAGAGTAGCGTAGGCAACAATAATTCCAACACACACGGAAACATGTAAGCCAACAATACAAATATAGACATGAAAGACATAAATCTTGAAGCATCCAACTAAGTACACGTTAAAAAGAGTCCGATCTACTTCCTTCATCATGTTTGCTTTTCTTTTTCCATTTCCATAAGTCTTCTAATTATGATGCCTTCCTCTGGATGGGAGACCCCAAGCTTTTTCCCCAATTCCAAAATGTTTACAGCTTCATCATACAACGCATTCATATTTCTATTGTCAATATCAGAAATATATATACCACTCTCAAAGATTTCTGGATGATTAGAGATACTATCATTAATCTTTGAATAAGTCTTTTTTCAACTCCACTTAAAACTTTTCCTCTTCTTTTTCTTTCTAGAAAACTTCAATCTCTCATAGTTTATGAAATTTATACAAGCATCATTAAACTCAGATTCAACCTCACACTCATTATCTTCAACATCCTCATCCTCCTTTCGAACATCACCAACGTTAACTACTTCCAATGAATTAGATGATAAACAAACCTCCAAATTCTGTACATCCCTAGAATCATCACCCATAAATCTATTGGAATTTATCATTTGGCCACTTCTAAACTCATCTACATCTTCAATCACCTCCTTCTCAACATTCTTTCCCACACAAATCAAGTTAAGAAGTATGTTGATCATTATTATTTTTCAAATCGATCCCACATCCACTACCTGGGTCCAAAGTTACATTAATGTCATCCAAAGTCCCTACATTGCAAGATACACGTTCCTCCCCCTCCACAAAATAAAAAACAACCTCCCTTTTAGAATTATTAGACTCCTCAAACAACATCTTAGAAATATCAGGTTGGGGTTCTTTAACTTATGAGCTATGGCAATTTAGCTCTTTCTCACTCTTGAGCATTGAGTCCTTTTAACTCTCTGAAATATAAGAATTGATAATATCCTTAAGGTTGACCTTAATAATTAAAGCAACATTTTCTAAAGAAACTTGAATATGTTCAACCAATAAACCATCAGAATATTTAGACGCTCTTCCAATTACCTTTTCCGCCAAGATTTTGGTTTTCCCCATTTGACTTCGTAACTTTATTCTTGATTGAAAAAGAAGTGCTATCCTTTTGTTTCAGTTCTCGTTAACCATGTCAGCATAGGTAAATTTACTATTTAAAGACTCTCACATCTAAAACTTGAAGTTCTATGACTAGAAGGGCTATAATTCAACCCAGCAATACGCTTTGTCGTGTAAAATCTAAGCTTAAAGCTACCAATCCATATTTGATTCAAAAATGTTAACAGACTCTCAATATCATCAATGCTCCTAAACCTTACGAAGCCATATCTTAGACCTATAATTTTTTCCTTTTTTGCAGGTACGAAAACATCAACAATATCTCCTAAAGATTTGAGCTTATTCCACAGACGTTTGGCATTCTATGAATTGGGAAAGTTGGTAAAATGAACATTCACAATACCATCTTGCTTCAAATCAATCTTAGAATAACATATTTACCTGCACTAGATGATCATGTTGAGAGTTGCCAATATCCTCCCTCAAATAACTAGTGCATGATTGAAATCAACAACCAATCAAATACCTCATCATAGGACCGGACGGAGGCTGGTGCAGCCAGTGGAGAGTTGGTGCGATTCTTTGAGTATTTTGGTCGAGCATGTGGTGGGAAGTTCAGGGAGGGTCGGTTTCTTTCTAAAATTGAGAAGAAGAATGTGTGTTTTGGATTATAGTGGAAATGTATGTTGTTAAGAGTTAAAAAAACAATAGATAAGAAGGTTTAGGTTAGCGAGTTTCGGTTGGTGTGCCTTTGAAGTCTTCGGCTAAATAGGTTGTGAGCAGTGCAGGGAGGAGTCAATTTATTGCTAAAATTTAGAAGAATGTGTGTTTTATAATTTTTAGAGACCTGATTTTGTTTGAATTGATCGAAATGGTTGCCACCATTGTCGCTTCCCTCCCATTAAGTAATCACCCATTTTCCCCATCATTCACCATCGTCCAGCCCTCTTGAAAAAAATAATAATAAAACCCAATACCTAGGAGAGATCATTACCCCTCACCATTGCTTTCATTACCCTAACATAGTATTACAAGATTCTCTCTCTTCTGAACCGACCATCTACAACCAAACATTACCACCACCTAAACTGTCATCATCACCGCCCGCCTCTACTGCCCAGACTCCCTTACTACGACCATCAACACCAAAAGCTTCTAAGCAATTCCATTCGGCAACCCCTTTAGCTCCCATCACCATCAACACCCACAATAACCGAAACCCCTATTTTCAAACTACCAACAGCCAAAAAAAAATAAAATTCAATACTCTTAAGTAAAAGTAATTCTTGGACCCTAACCACATAAAGGAGGTTTTTCAACGATTATTATTTATAAAAAAATATTATGTCAAATTTTGAGAATTATTATGGGAGTTTTAAGTGAAAAAATTTTTTGAAATGTCTCCTAGATACAAGAGAATTTAGAAAATTTTCTTAAAAAAAAAAGGATTTTCATTCTATTATTAAATAAAACAATATTTTAAGCAAAAGAAATAAGGATTTTGCTACAAGAAATAAAATTTAGAGAATTATTTTAAATGTTAAAATTATGACTTTTTTTTTATCAATACTAAAAATAACACGTGATCAATTAAAACTTTTTTTAAAACGGGTATTGTGGGTACTAATAATTCTTCACATATAACCATATTTTTGAATACATATTTGATTTCAAAAAATAAAATTGTCTTTTTGATAAATTTTAAATTTTTTAAAAGTTTTATTAAAAAATAAATTTTTTGAGTAATCAATCACACCTAACAAAAAAGATTGACTCCTTACATTATTTTGAAAAATTAAATAAAATTAGAAGAATGACCTAGCTTCACCCGAGTTACAATTTTTTTATAAAATATAAAATATATAATTTTTTATTTAATAATAAAAAATAAATATATTTTTTAAAAAATTACAATTTTTTGACAAAAATAAAAAAATAGATGCTTAAATGTGTCACTCAATCGTAATTGAATAGGTATCTACTTTTATTTTTTAAGGAAAAAAACCAATAAACTTAATACAGTATGAGGGTCATTTTATAATTTTGTCTAATTATGGTAGGAGGACATTTATGTAATTATAGTTCTATGAGCATCATAGTAACTTTGACCAATCATGGTAAAAGTGGTACTTTATAATTATATTAAAAGAGACATTATAGTAATTTTAATTAATTATAGAAGAAAAGACATTATAGTCGATTTGGATGAGTATTATTCAATTTTTAAGCAATTAAAAAGGCATTATGATAATTTCTAAGAGGATCACTTTCATATAATTATATGGATGTTAAAATTTAATACATAATTATGAAGTAATAAAATGGTATTTTCGTAATTATGGTAAAAGGGTATTATTATATTTTTGTCAAATTATAATATGAGAGGTATTTTTGTAATTATGGTAGTAGGGGATATTATAGTAATTTTGATGACTAATGGAAAAAAAAAGGGCATTTTATTTTTATGGTAGCAGGGGTATTATATTAATTTTGATCATTTATGGTAAGTGGGGTATTTTAGTAAATATTTTAAGAGGGGTATTATACTTATTTTAATTAATGATAAAAATAGGGACATTACAGTCAATTTATATGCATATAATTTAATTGATAAGTAATTAAAATGGCATTATAACTATTTTCTAAAGGAATTAATTTCATATTATTGTGTAGATTTTAAAATTTAATATGTAATTATGAAGCAATCAAAAAAGTATTTTCATAATAATGCTTATAGGATATTATAGTTATTTTGGCCAATTATAATATGAGAGGTATTTTCGTTATTATGATACGAGAGGCGTTATATGAAGTAATCTAAAAGGTAATTTTTGTAATTATTGGTTAGAATGTATCATAGTAATTTTAGTTAATTATAATAAGAGAGGTATTTTCGTAATTTTGATAAAAGAGCATTATCGTAATTATGGTTAGAGGATATTATAGTGATTTTGACAAATTATAATATGAGAAGTATTTTCCTAATTATGGTTAGAGGAAATTTTCGTAACTATAGTTGTAAGGGTATTATAGTAAATTTGATGAATTATGGTAAAAAAGGTATTTTAGTAATTATATTAAGAGAGACATTATAGTAATTTTAGTTAATCATTGAAAGAGAGCCATTACAGTCAATTTGAATGCATGTAATTTAATTGTCAAGTAATTAAAAAGGCATCATGATCATTTGTAATTGGCTTGTAATTCAATTGTTAAATAATTAAAAAAACATTATGATTAATTTCATATTATTGTATATATGTTAAAATTTATTTTGTAAGTACGAAACACTCAAAAGTGTATTTTTGTAATTATGTTTCAAGGGTATTAGAGTAATTTTAACCGTTCATAATATTAGGGATATTTTTGTAATTATGGTTGGATAGGCATTACATAGAGCAATAAAAAGGGCCATTTTTATGGTTAGATGATATTATAGTAATGTTAGCAAATTATAATATGAGAGATATTTTCTTAATTATGATAAGAGGGGATTTTCATAATTATGGTGAAAGAATATTATAATAATTTTGGTAAATCATGATATGAAGAGCATTTTTGTAATTATGGTTGGAGGGCATTATAGAAATTTTGACAATTAATGGTAGAAGGGCATTTCCCTTATTATGGTTGTTGGAGTATTATAGTAATTTTGGTCAATTATGATAAGTATGGGTATAATCGAGTCGAGCCGATACAGTGAGAAGCTCGAGCTCGAGCTCAACTCCAAACTCGAGGCTCGATACTCGACTTGAACTCGATCGAGTTTCATTTTTTTAGCTCGAGCTCGATTCGTGATCGGAATCAATCTACTCGAACTCGCTCGATTAATATGTTAAAATAAACTCGATTCTTATATTTGACAAGAGTTTGGTTATTTGTGCTCGAGCTCGAACTCGAATTCGATATATTTTATTAATTAAAATAATAAAAAAATTTAAATATAAAAGCTTGATTAGGCTCGCGAGCTACTCGAGCCAGGTATAAGAATACTTAACTTGGCTCGATCGATAAGTCGAGCTACTCGAGCTCGAACTTGACTCGATAATAATCGAATCGAATTTAAGTTTTATTCGAATCAAACCCAAGTAGCTTGCGAGTACTAATGTATCATTTACACCCCTAATGATAAGAGGTATATTTTAGCAATTTTGTGAAGAGAAGCATTATAGTAATTTGAGCTGATCATACAAAAAGGGATACTACAATTAATTTGGATGCATGTACTTAACTTGTCAAGTAACTAAAAGGATATTATGATAATTTCTAAAGGGATTAATTTCATATTATTGTCTGGATGTTCAAATTTAATACGTAATTATAAAGCAAGCAAAATGTTATTTTCATAATTATGCTTAAGGGTATTATAGTAATTTTAGTTAATTATAACATGGGGGGTATATTTATAATTATGGTAGAAGAGCATTATAATAATTATGGCAAATGATAGTATGAGGGTATTTTTATAATTATGGTTGTAGATACATTATAGTAACTTTAGCCAATTATGGTAAGAGAACTATTTTAGTAATTATGTTAAGAAGGTATTCTAATAATTTTAGTTAATTTATTAAAAAAAAAGGCATTATAGTCAATTTGGATGTATATAAATCAATTGCCAAGTAATTAAAAGGGCATCATGATCATATCTAAGGAAATTAATTTCAAATTTTTGTATATATGTTAAAATTTAATATGCAATTATGAAGCGATCAAAATGGCATTTTTATAATTATACTTAGAAGGTATTATAGTAGTCTTGGCTAATCACAATATAAGAGGTATTTTTATAATTATGGTTGGAGAGTTATTATATGAAGCAATCAAAAGGTTTTTTTTTTTGGTAATTATGATTCGAGGGTATTATAATAATTCTATCTAATTATAATATAAGTGGTATTTTCGTAATCATGATAAGAGAGCATTTTTGTAATTAGGGTTAGAGGATATTATAATACTTTTTGACAAATTATAATATGATTGATATTTTCATAATTATTGTATAAAAAAGTATAATAGTAATTTCAGCAAATGATGGTACGAGACATTTGCATACTTATGGTTGTTGGGGCAACTTTGGACAATTATGATAAGAAGGGCATTTTAATAATTATGTGAAAAGAGGTATTATAGTAATTTTAGTTAATCATAAAAAGAGAGATATTATAGTCAATTTGGATATATATAATTAACTCACTATGTAATTAAAAATGCATCATTTTTAAAGGGATAAATTTCATAATATTATGTAGATGTTAAAATTTAATGCATAATTATCAAGCAATTAAAACAATATTTTTATAATTATGGTTAGAGATCGTTATAGTAATTTCGACCAATTATAACATAAGGAGTAATTTCGTAATTATGATAAGAGGAGTATTATAATAATTTTGACCAATTCTAGTAAAGGAAGAAAATGAAAAAAAGAACACATGACATACAATTAGTATCAAATGAACCACATGAAAAAGTTCATTTAAAAATTTTTATTAAATATTTCTTAAAAAATTTAAATTTGAGAAAAGTTAAACAAGTTTAAAAAATAAAAAAATTATATAAACGGTTTTAAGTGTAAAAAAACTTTTAAAATATTTATAACAATAATTTTATAATTTTTAAAAATATTTATTAAATAATTTTAAAGAAAAGTAAAGAAAAATTAAAAAAAAACTCAAAAAAATGACAAGCGATAGTAAAATGAAATGGGATTGTAAATCACACATCGTTCAAGTGATTATAAAATGACAAAATCTTAATTATTTTTTATTTAATAAATGAAAAATTGAAAAAAGTAAAAAACAAAAACAAAAAAAATTATTATAAGTGGATCTCACGCATAATAAAAATACAATTTTAACAAATATATATTTTTTTAATTTTAAAAAATTATTATTTTTTAAAGGAAAAAGTAAAAGAAAATGAAAATGCAGAAAAACAAAAAAAGTAAAACAAGAGGTCCCATCAGAGTGCAACACGTGGCACAACTTAAAGTATACATTGTTCACACATGAAAAGAAAAAAAAAAGGGAAACGGGAAACGGAAAAACCTAGAAAAAAAAAAAGAGAAAACAATCGGCCAATGATAAGTTGGCACGTAACACAATATGAAAAAAGCACTGTTTATCCATGCATTAGTAAAATTAGTAGTACAAAATAAGGTGGAAATGAAAGTTGAGAGGAGAGAAGCTGTCACTTATGGGGGAAGAGATCTGGAGAAGTTGACGTGTATTTTAAATGGAATGGTTAGGTTGATAGCAGTCGAGAAGAGAAGGGGCAGGTCGGGTAACGTCGATTTATGTATATTATTTTTTCTAAATTGCAGATTAGCAACTATGAAAAAGAGTTGGAAGAAATGAAGCACATAGAGAGGTAGCTAGCTATAGCTTATTGGCTAACCAAGTTTCTAAGTGACGTATCAATTAGCTGACCAAGTGTTACATTTGTAATCATTTAAGCTCGATTACACCAACATAATATTACTTAAGTTCATAAAAATTCTGCTTTTTGTCCCTCTCATTCTAAAAATTACTTTTTGCGTTTGTGAAGCAGAGTTTAATTGGGTTGTTTATACAATTAATCCTAGAAAACTTGTATTGATCCATCAAATTTATGAAAAAATCCTTGATTTGTTGGATATATTTTATTGATATAAATAAATTAAACATAATTTTCCAAGATAATTTTAAAATTATACCTAATTTAATTTTTGCATACTAATTATTGTTTTTACATCATTTCCACTAAAAAAAATTATTTTTCTTCTAAAAAGTTAAAAATAAAAATTCATTACAAAAACGAAAAAAATTAAAAAAAAAAACTTTGTAACCTTAGTTTTCTGTATTTTTTAAATGAGAATGAATATTTCTAATTTTTATGTAACAATTTTTAGTTTATATAATTACACAAAATATTTATATAATTTATAATTTTATTTATAATATTTAAAAATATTTTTACTAACTCAATATTAACCTATGTTCCAACAATTGAACTATTTGATTGAAGGTCCGGAACCTTAAACAATTAATTATTTGATTGGATTATGATAACTATGTTGTAAAGTTTTAGCATTCCCTCGTCACGTGTCAATGACTATTAGTGATTAAGTATGGAATAAAACAAAATTAAATGAGTAGGAAATAGTTTAATAGGAAAAATATTTTTATTTTCTTTGTGAAAAAGAACATTATAAGAATACGAAATTTAATTTAATTGATTCATACAATTACGCTTAAAAAATAAAATTTTAATAAGTCTAAAACTTAAATTTCTAACACCTATAACCTTTCATTTGTCTCAGACTATGACTCCCTTAAAAAAGAACAAAAGATCACTATGCACTAAGCAAGAAGAATGAATTAATATATATAAGCATGCAGTAAACATCAAAGCGAGAGTATAGTTTTAGTTTACCTTCCAAGTTGTTGTCTTGGAGACCCAATAACTTAAGCGAAGTCAAATTCCCGATTTCCATCGACAGACTCCCCTGGAATTGATTTAAAGCCAAGTATAGATAATCCAAGTGTTTGCATTTGAATAAACTCATTGGAATTCTTCCGGAAACTTGATTGTTGTACAAAATAAATTTTTGTAATATAGGAAGGTGATCAAATGTATCCGATGAGAGATGACCAGAGAACTCGTTGTATGCGAGGTCGATTATTTGCAATGAAGAAATGTTGAAGATTGAGGAAGGAATGGAACCTGAAATATTATTATATATTATTCAAACATAGTTTTTGTAGGTTGAAGAATTTCATATCCGTAATGTATTAATGAATGAAGAACTACGTCAACATTTGAAGTTCTACTTTTATAATACTATTTTCGATTCGACAATAAAAGTCTATAATGGAATGAGTGAACCCTTTGGGAGCCTTGTGCATCTAAGAAAAAAATCATCAAAAAAGCTTTCCTATGCTGACACTTTTACTGGTTTTACCTCAAGTTACGTCCAATTCGACAAAAAAACCTTCCAGTTGACCTAAATTTTAACTAATAAATCTGAACTAATGAAAGAAACATAAATTGTCAACTAATCATTCTAGTTTATCTAAATTCTAAGAAAAGGGTCATCGGAAGCATACCTGTTAAGTTGTTCCCATTGAAATACAACCACTTTAGTCTAGTCAAATTCCCGATTTGTAGAGGAACACTTCCCTTAAAGGAATTGGCTTTGAGAATTAAAGTTTCTAAATTTTGGCACTTGAATAAACTGGTTGGAAGTCTACCAGAAAGATAGTTGAAACCCAAATCTAGATGTCGTAACTTAGGAAGGTGATCAAATATAGCAAATGGAAGATGACCTACAAAATGAGATTATTAGTGTTGAAAATCAATATTTGCAATAAAGATATATGGAAGATTAATGAGAAAGATGCAAAACCTGATAACTGATTATCATTCAAATATAATGATTTCAAGTTAGAGAGATTTCCAATTGCTATAGGAATTTGTCCTTCCAGATCATTTTTATACAGGACCAACTCCTCTAGCTTTGACAAAGAGCCCAAAGAGGACGGAATGGCACCGGAGAAGTTGTTAGTGTGTAGAAACAAGCTCTGAAGTTGAGTAAACGAATCAAACCATGAGGGAATCTCTCCATTGAAGCTGTTATTAGCAAAGTTAACGTATTTCAATCGACGTAAATTAGTCAACTCGGTAGGTAAAACGCCATGAAAACTGTTATACTGAATGTTGAACCAAGCAAGAAAAGACAGATTCCCCAAGTGAGGCGGGATTATACCTGTGAGATTCATGCCAGAAAGATTGAGAGCAGTGACTCGATGGTGCCTAGATCCGCAAGTAATACGAATCCAATTGCAAACAGAGGCAGTAGTAGACCAGTTGGTTGCCAAAAGGTTTTGAGGGTCATGACTAACATGGGCTTTTAGTGCAAGCAGTGCCAATTGGTCAGTGGTGATGTTGAGTGATTCCAAGGACAAAGTAGCCACAAAGTTATGCAACAGCACCACAACCATAAGAGGGAGGAGGAAGCTGGCGTTTCCCATATGGTTATATTTGTAGTTGAGACAAATTAGGAAAGAAAGAACTGATATAGTTGCATCATGGTTTGGGTTGCTCATTCTTTAAATACTAGTAAATGCATATGTTTTGACTATGTATTAATAAAATATAACTTTGGTTGAGAAAAAAGAAACATGCATATGTTTCAAAATGAGTTAATTACACATTCTATATTTGAACTTTGATAAAATGTATAAATTGATATCTACAAAAAATATATATACAATTTGCATTGTGAACTGCATTTTAAATAGTATACCATGTTAAGTCAGTAACACCATTAACTTGTTCATGTGACATTTCATAGTATAATTACGTCATGTGTACATCATGCATTAAATAAGAATTATAAATATTTTGTAAGTAATCTACGTGATATGCGATATCCAAGACGAGTGTTTTACCATCCAAATAACAAAGAAAAAAAGTTGACTTTAATATATTTTATATTAAAATTTTATTTCTTAATGAAATTGATGTTCTATGCCTTTTAATGACAAAAAGTAAAAAATATGAAAAATTAATTTAGAATTAAAAAAAATAAGAGTATAACTTGTTAAGAAAAAATACTTATTTTTAGGAAATTCAAAAAACAAAACTTTATAAAAAAAAAAAAAAGGACCAGGAGTAAATATTTTTCACTGGCAATGAAAATTATGCATATTGATGATTTGATGTTATGATATTGGTCAAATGTCACTTACAAGGGTGTTAAATTTGAATTAAAATGATAAATGATTTGACAATATATAATTAATTCTCTCAAAATTGATAGTTAAAGAGTAATTAAATTCTTATATAAAAAGGGAGAAAAAAGGAGTAATTCAACGAAACACTCGGTATAAGCATGACAGGTCGAACCTTGAAGCATTCTATACGAAGTTATGCATCAAGTCTATGTATGATAATATTTTTATAGATTTAGGCGTCCTGAAAAACCCTGCAAATCTTGAAGAAAGAAAAACCAAATAGGAGAAATGGGCAGGGATTGAGGCATATGTCCTTTTCACTTTTGAGGATTAATTATTGCATTCTTCAAATAATTTCTGGTATTGGTGGGGGAAACGTTGATTAAAAATTGAAGTAGGCAACGAGTCAGACATAGAAAAATAATGAGGGGACGTTTGGGTTAGTGTTTCGAGACGCCTGACGTTAGTCAATTTAGGTTTTTAGGATTCAATGTGCGTGAGTTTGATAATTAAAAAAATTAAAATTTATAATTAATTAATTTTAATTTTACATTGTTAGTTAATATATTGACATAAAATAAATATTTAATTAAATTATAATACATGATAAAAGTTTCATATTATTAGCTTTCACATCAATATAAAAATAAAAAATAAAAAAATAATTTTTTAAAAAATTAAAAATTATATTTTTTTAAAATTTTAAAAATTTTTATGCTAAGATGATAATGAACAAACTAATGATATGACATTTATATCATGTGATATAATTTTATTGTGTGCTTATATCATATTAATAATTTAACTAACGGAGTTAGATAAAAAAAATCAAAGAATTTAATAAAAAAATAAAAATTAATTTGAGTATCTATTAAGAATTTTGATTTTTTAAATACTAATTTTATGAAAATTATATAATACAAAAATCAAATTTATACTTAAGCCTAAAATTTATAATTATTAATAATAATTATACATAATATTACTTGAATATAACATAACAACATAAATCATGGAGATCAATTGCAAATTAAAAAATTAAAAGTGGTAGAAAGAAATTAAGGTGACATAAAATATAAATAATTTTGTCCCCCATGACACGGTTGAAGTATTCTTTACGGAAATATTTTAGGTAATGTTTATGATTTTTTTAATCAAATGCTACTATCATTGCTACTAATTAATTAATAATCAATTCAATTGAGCTTTCTAGTCAAGAATTGACGCTCCACTTTGCCTATTTCATCAAAGAGAGGAAAGAAAAAGGAATTTGACAATATTTGAATTTATTTGATATTTAAATATTGTGGAAATTTCCATATCAGAGATGAAAAGTGTGAAGCATTGCCATTAATAATAAAATTATATGAGCTTTTAGGGCAGACTTTGCTTTTGGCGTCAACGGCGTGATATCTAGGCAAGTGAGGTAGCTCTGTTAAGAAATTAAAATTCGTAATTAGGTATTTAAATTTAAATTTTATCAAATTTTTTGATACTTTAATCTAGGATTATAAGTTAATATATTGACAAAAAATAAATATTTAATTTTCTTAGATATTTATGATAAAAGATTCATGTCATTAGTTATCACGTCAATATGAAAATAAAAAATAAAAATTATTTTTTATTTTTTGCTGTATTAAAAAAAATTTCTTCGTACTGACGTGATGGTGAACATACCAATGATGTGGTATTTATGCCATGTGGCATAATTTTATTTTTTGTACTTAGGAGGATTTTAGTCAAGGTGATAGTTATTATGTGTCGGATAATCTTCTAATAAATTTGATTTTTTTTAATGCTAGAAGACTTATTAAAGGTAGACCTAGAGCATTTTAAGTGGTTTTACTATATTTTTTTATAAAAAAATTGATAGAATGAAAATTTAAATATGTATTAAAAATTTTAGTTCTTTAAGAATCAATGTGAGAGAAATTGTATAATATAAAGACAAAATTTTTATTTAACCCAAATATTTAAAATTATTATTAATAATTATATGTAATATTACTTAAAAATAACTGTATTTGTATTCATATGATGAATTTCCCATAATTTTTAAGGTGATTGAAAAATTATAACAACATAAATCATGAAGATCAATTGAAAGATTAAAGGTGGTAGAAGGAAATTAAGGTGACATAAAATATAAATAATTTTGTCCTCCATGACACGGTTGAAGTATTCCTGTGGACAAAAATATTTTAGGAAATGTTTAATTTTTTTTAATCAAATGCTAATGTCATTGGTACTAATGACTCAATTCAACTGAGGACAAGAATTTAAGTTTTCAGAGTAAAAAAAAAAAAAAAAAAGCAAAAGTCTTCTTCCTTTTTGAAAAATTTGGCAAGTACTTAAATCATTTAATTTTTTTTACTTATATTATATTAGAAAAATTATTTGATATAGTGACAATAGAGTTTATCAACACCACAAATAAAGTTAAGATGATGAAATATGTTTCATTTATTTTTAAATTAATTTTTTTAAATATGTATAAAAAAATATGTCACCATCTTAATCTTACTTATGAAGTTAAAAAATTTCACTATCAGTATATCAAATAATTTCTTGTTATATTACTAGTAATTGTTAAACGTAAAATTATCACATAATTTAATAGTATTTTTTTTGGCTTCAACACATAATGAAACAATTTAGAGATTTGAAATTAATTTAAAAATTTATTATAACATATAAGTTCGGAGGCTTGATTATTAGATGTAAAAATCAAGAAGTCACCATCAATCTTTTTTGTTAAGATATGATTAGTCATCAATCTTATCTTTTGGTCTACGAAATTAAGTTAGATTTGAGCATACGATTATAAGTGAGAAAGATTGTTACACTTCACAGCGCCTATCTGAAGATGATACCAATTAATTCTATAAGATCTTAAAATGATCTTGCTTATATAGTGTTTTACTTATTATTTTATTATCGTTATTTAAATATTAAAAATTTTCTAAGCTATTCTTAACATTTCAGTATGACTTAAGTCGGTATGATAGGTTGTTTGGGTGATGGTGTGGCTGGCAGTGCGGTGGTGTAGCTGGGGATAGTTGGCCAAAACCTTGCACCTTTATGGTTGTTGGCAAGTGGTGTAGGTGGGTAGTGCATTTAATCCGCAATGACTTTTGCACCAAAAAAATTTAGAAAGAAGAAAAAAAAAGGAAAAAAGTAAAAAATAATAAAAATATAAAATAAAGATAAAACCAAAAATAAAAATAAAGTAAGATAAATAAAAACAAAATTACATTTGGGTTGAAACTTAAATGAGCTTAACGAGTAATCCAAGATTGGATAAGAATAAAATTGAGAATCAATTTAAGTTTTCCAAAACAACACTCGATTTCTCTCGGATAAAATAGGTGATTATAGTTGCTTCTCTTTGCATATTACTACGAATTAGGAATAAAACAAAAATAAAAAAGACAACAATTTTATCTTGGCAAACACATACAAAAAACCAAACATTGAACATAAAGATTTTTTTTCCTTTTTTTTTTTTTGAACTCCTCTAAACATAGGCTTGTTGAATTTCAAACGGTTCCTCTAAATAGAGGTTAGACAACTTTTTGAAAATTAAAAAGGTTTATCTAAACAAAAGCTCGAAAATTTTTTAAAAATTTGAAAGGTTGCTCTAAACAGAAGCTTGATAACTTTTTAAAAATTTGAAAGGCTTTTCTTAATAGAGACTTGATAACTTTTTAAAATTTTAAAAGGCCCATATAAACAAAGCCTTGATAACTTTTTGAGAATTTAAAAGGTTTCTTTAAACAAAAACTCGACAAGTTTTTGAAATATTGAAACATTATTCCTAGAGGACTTACGAATTTTGACAACAAATATTCCTTTAAATAGAGGCTCTACAACTTAAAAACAATCTCATCTTAAAAAAGCTTATTCTAAACAGAAGTTAAACAACTTTAAAAACCACAACCACAAATCATCATTTTTTCTTAAAATCTTTGTTACCTTTGAAAATTGAAATCTCACCTCTAAAAAAGCAAATTTCTCTCATTTGAGTATTGAAGTCTTATCTTTGATTGTTGTTTTTGGTTGTTATCTTTGTATGAGGGCCAAAAGTCTTTTTTTTCCCCTTAAAGAATGAAAAGTCCTTGTCCTTGCAACAATTTATGATCTTAACCTTCCATGGATGCATGCACCAAATGCTCTAAATGCTATGCATGTGATATAATCAAATTTTTTTACTTTTAATTGTGGTAAAGGATTTTTAAGATCTCTTGCCTTTTGGTCAGCAAATACCATAGAACCAACATGGCCTTAATGTT